GACTGTTAGGGTTGCTTGTTGGTCTTTAACTTACCAGTCAAGAGATATTGCTTCTGGCTGTTAGCTTCTAGTTTTACACCACAGAGAGAGGAATCAAAAGGTGTATAGATATACTGAACATCCTTGACTTTCTCAAACCCTTTAAACATCTGAAAGGCAATTACCAAAAAAAAAAAAAAAGCAGTATTGGGTCAGGGAGTATACTTTATATCTTAACAGGAAAAACCTCTCATTTCTCAATCTAAAAACATTAGGCAAAAGTCTAGTTCAGAATTTGGTAGCCCAGCTTCTCTCTTAAGAAAAATCTAAACCTTGGTTTATTCCAGTGAGAATACCTCCAGGATAGACAGCTGTAGGACTAGATGGACACTGAGGGTCTGTGGGCCCTGCTCCCAACACATCAACCACTTCCACTCCAGCATCAATACCCCAGGATCAATGAGCCAGTTGCCTGACCTACCAGCCCAACTCCCAGTAGACAGACCCCACTCCTCCCAGCAGCCCAAGGAGGTTAATGCCCTGTCCTGTCCCCATGTACCTTTATCTGTTTGATTTCATACCGGATCATTTTTTGAGTGTCAGTGGGGTCTGCACTGGCAGGAACTACCTTCTCACTGGAGATTTTGGCCCGTATGGCTGCATAAAAAGAGAAGAGAGGGGACCTTCAGCAACCTGTGGGAGCAGTCCACCTGGTATCTGAATGACCTGAGGCCCCTGGAGAATTTTATAAGGGAATTCTGGGTTTAGGTCTCATTGGGTTGTGAGGGGGACCATTTTGTGTAAGAGTGGGGGCCCAAAAACAATTCCTCTGCAGTTACCGAAAGTTCCAAACCCCTCAGGCCTGCTGGGTCCTACAATCTTTAGAGTTTACCTGCTAGTTTTGAGAGTCTAGTTTTCCATAGCCCAGATTGCAGTGGGTTGAAGGTAGGTACCAGGGTAGAGGAGGGAGAAGATGCCCCTTGAGTTTGCAGTCTTCTACCTATGTAGCCTGAGGCCTCAACAGAGCCCACGCAGAGCTGACATTAGGAAATGTTTATTGAATTAATAAATATGTTCTGACCCTGCACAGTTTGTCTCTTGCCATGTGGGCATTAATCAAAAACTGGCTGTAAAGTTCTTCCTCTGTGCCTGGCCCAACGCTAGGTACTAGGTCTGTAAACATGATTAAGCATCACCTATCCTGCAGGACTCTTGGTCTAGTATAGAACACTTACAAAGAACAACAGCACAGCATGGTGGGAACACAAAAATGTAAGAGATACTGTGGTAGCACCAAGGAGTCCAAAAGTCTTCAGAGGAGAGATACCTGAGTAAGAACTTGAAGGATAAATGGGAGTTTGCCGGGAATTTAAGGGTGTGGGGGAAGGGCATTCCAGGCAGAGGAAAGAGAAAAAGGGCAAAAGGTGTGTCTTGGGGTTTGGGGGGCGGCCTGGAGACAACATCAGTTACAGGCTTGGAAACAGTGGATGTTTATAATGAAAGCCCAATCCCCTGGCTCCTGGCTCCCCTTCCCTGCATCCAGTAGTTCAGAATAATCACTGCATAGCTCTTGTCATTGTTCTTCAACGACACTCCATAATTTCAGTAGGCAGGGGTGAGGGGGTCGCTATAGGGGTCCCTTAGACTGTCTTTCATTTCCTTGCAACTTGCAAGGTTGCTATGGCACCGGCCCTGCCCCACCCATCAGCCCCAATAGGAGGCAACTGGTGCAGTATTTGATCTCCTCCCTCTCCCTGCAGACTACAGGTTTGCAGCTTGGCCCCATACCAACCCCACACAACCACCCCCCGCTGTGGACCTCACAGGCCTCCGGCGACTCACCGAGCGCTGAGTGGCAGACGTGCTGCTGGGGGTGCGCAGGGGCGCAGCTGCACGCCTCGCTCATCCCTGGCGGCCGCAGCAGTGCCAGCAGCCGCAGCAACAGCGCCCAGCTCGGCGCGGTCCGGAGGCTCCGGGGCATGACACCGCAAATCCCTGCTGAGCCTGTGGGGTCTGTCGGACCAAACAGGCCCTCCAGGGTTCATCCAGAACGCGTCGCGCCCCTTGCCCCAGGCTTTTTGAGGTGGACCTAGGGCCAATCCCGCCCGGATGGGCTCCTCCCTCCTTTGGCTGTAGGCCAGCCACGGCTGCAGGACCCGCAGCCCTCCTGACTGGCAGGCTCAGTAAGATGAAGAGGGAAGCCAGGAGAGAGGCCCTTAGCCTCTATTTCCCTGCCTAAGCAATTAAGCCTTATAGAAGTAGAGGGAAGGCACTGGGAAAGGGGATGGTGTCAAGGCGGAAAGACAGAAAGCGCAACAAAGACAAATGCATGAGGGCAGAAAGACAGAGGGGCTGTGATTCAAGCTGAAGGAACAAGGGTGAGGAGAGCACAAACAGAAAGTGAGACAGGCAGAGTCAGAGAGAGGCAGACGGAATTACAACAGGCAAAAGAGACAGTGACAGAGAGGACGGACCCCTTGCTGAGCTGCACACTGGGAATGAGACAAGCTACTCAGGGCTTCTTTCAGCTGCAGGAAGTGTTTTCAATGCCCTATTTATGAGGCTCCAAAGCAACAGCAAACAGTAATGGAATAGGACAGAGAAAGTTGGGGTGTGTGTGTGTGTGTCTTGGCTCTGTCGGCTGGGGGGTGGGGCGAGATGTCAGAGAAAGCAGCCAGTGCTTTTAGAAACCTTTTCCCATGTCCAGAGCCTCAGACTCTGCAGATGGCTGAGGACAGTGCTCTTGGTGGGGGCTCAAAGCGCAGGGTATCCCAACACTCAGGGCAAACCTGGGACCTCAAAGTCCTCTCCAGACCGTAGGCCACACTGATTGCTATATTCTGTCATTACTCGCTGGAGAGACTGTGTCTTGTCATAGAAGGTGGAGCAGCTTAGAAAACAAAGAAGCAAGCAAGGTACATGGGGTCACTTCAACCAGAACCATGCCCTCTATGTTTGACAGAGCACAATGCTCCAAGTCTCCAAATAGAAAGAGATACATGAGATTATTGCAGGATGTTTCCACACAGTGCTGGACTAGAAGGTAGGAGGCTGGGTTCCGATTGTGTCACAAGGTAGCTTTGCAGCCTTTGCCTCTCTGGGCCTCGCTTTCTTCTCCATAAAATTGGCTTGAACTACATCTTTCCAAGGCCCTTTTGCCCCAGCTTCAACCGGCCTCATCCAGGAACCCTGAAATCCTCAGATCAGGTACTCCCAGTATCTTGTCACACTTAGGATTCCCATGGGAATCTGACTTTTCATCAGAGTCAACTTTAATTTTTTCTGAAGACTTCTCATTTTGATGTGGAAATGATGTTTGAAAAGAAGTAAATTGAAGGAGAGCTGAGTCTGACTGAGAAAGATGAGATCTGGTGACCAGGTTGGTTCTTCATATAACACCCAGACCAAGATAGAGCCTGACGTATTTATTATTGGACGGACCCCAAAAAGCATCCACTCCAGTCTCTTCATTTGGCAGATGTGAAGACAGAGTCTCAGTGAGGTAAAGTGACTTTCAGAAACCAATAGCAAAGAGGACTAGAATGCAAGTCTCCTGATATATGCAGGGAGCCCTCCAACATGGTACTTCCTCCGTCCTCACTTTGTAACCACTTGAAATCCTGCCTTTGGAGGGTAGTTCTCCTTTTAAGTTTCTGTTGTCCCTCTGTTAAAATATGGCTACTTCAAGATAGAGTTTAAGGATGTCTTTCAAAAGATACACATGTTGAATTCTTATGTCAGCTCTCTTCCGAACTCCAAACTGGGCAGAAAGAGACCTTAGCATACTAAGCTGTGTTTGGTGGTGAGTTTGGGGTGTTGGTGAGCAGCGCAGACAGTGTGAAAGAGAGGGAGAAAAGCCAGGTTCAGTACAGGAAAGCTGGAGGTTTGAAGGGGGAGGGAAGGGTACTAAAAGGTACATGACAAAAGGGGCATTAAGATTCCAAAGATACTGTTCTTGGGGCACCTGGGTGGCTCCGAGGGTTAAGCGTCAGCTCAGGTCAGGATCTCCCAGTTAGTGAGTCAGAGCCCCACGTTGGGCTCTGTGCTGATAGCTTGGAGCCCGGAGCCTGCTTCAGATTCTGTGTCTCCCTTTCTTTGTGCCTCTCTCCTGCTAGTGCTCTCTCTCTCTCTCAAGAATAAATAGACATTAAAAAATTTTTTTAAAAAAACACAAAGATACATTTCTTTCTTTTTTTTTTTTATGTTTACTTTTTTAGTTTTGAGAGAGAGAGTGAGCAATTGGGGAAAGGGCAGAGAGAGAGGGGGACAGATGATCCTAAGTGGGCTCTGTCCTGACAGCAGAGAGACTGATGAGGGGCTTGAACTCACGAACCATGAGATCATGGCCTGAGCTGGAGTTGGACGCTTAACTAACTGAGCCACCCAGTAGCCCCGGTACATTTCTTTTCAAATTCAGGTTTATTAAAATACAACTTACAGGGGCGCCTGGGTGGCTCAGTCGGTTAAGCGGCTGACTTCGGCTCAGGTCATGATCTCGCGGTCCGTGAGTTCGAGCCCCACGTTGGGCTCTGTGCTGACAGCTCAGAGCCTGGAGCCTGTTTCAGATTCTGTGTCTCCCTCTCTCTGACCCTCCCCCATTCATGCTCTGTCTTTCTCTGTCTCAAAGATAAATAAACGTTAAAAAAAATTTAAAAAAAAATAAAATACAACTTACATACAGCAAAATTCACCCTTTCAAAGATTATTTTTTTATTTATTTATTTATTTATTTATTTATTTATTTTTACTTCTCTTTGGCTAAGGACAGGTCCTGCCCAGAGTTTGTCTAATGCAGAGAAGGTTGAAGCAATGAATTTTAAAGATGTAAAGAGTACTCAGTGGCAGAGAGGGGCAAGTCACTGTCACTCTATGGGCCTCAGTTTTTTAATTTGTCAACCAAGTAGGTTGGGCTGGTACTTTAAAGGGCCCTTCCAAGGGTATTACCAAGAAAAATACTTGTAAGACTCCACAGAGAGTGAGGCACACTCTGACCAGTTCATTCCTTTCTCCTCTGCTTTCAGCTGACACTGCCTACATTCCCTGTGGTGGTGAAGATTGGCCATGCTCACTCAGGCATGGGCAAGGTAAGGCCAGGGTTTGCTGCACTTTGGGGTTGAGGCCAAGAAGGGTAATTTTAAGAGAGCCTGGTTATGGACTGTTCTGCCTCCTTTCTCTCTGAATTCTTTCCAAGGAGGTGATTTGGCCCCTCTGAAGGCATGAGTGTTACCCAAACAGACCTTTTCTAACAAACAGAGTACAGGCTTGGGCCTTGGGCCCTTTGTAGCAAGTGTGGGTCCTGAGTTCTAGGAGGGAAAGCTAGAGAGGAAGGGCTTCCTCTGGAGATGTGGCATCCAGGTTTGCATCTGGATGAGCAACATCTTGATGGGTTTAGCTCAGGGTTCTTGTGATTCTCAGTATCTGCATTTGTGTGTCTCCTTTTCTCCCTCTCTGCCTTGCTTCAACATTAGGTCAAAGTGGAAAACCACTACGACTTCCAGGACATTGCTAGTGTGGTGGCTCTCACCCAGACCTATGCCACAGCAGAGCCTTTTATTGATGCCAAGTATGACATCCGGGTCCAGAAGATAGGCAACAACTACAAGGCTTATATGTGAGTGGGGTTGGGGTCTCAGCACATACTCTTCAATTTCTCCTCAGCCCAGTGGAAAATCTGAGGCTCCAGGTAGCAGTCAACTCTCAGTTTAACCTCATCTGGCCCAAAAGGCAGAGAACAGAAAGAGAGTGCCATACAAGTCAGGGACTCCTAGCCTGAGTTCCTTTCATGTCAGAGGAGGGCCCATGAACTAAGATGAGAAATAAAATTAATATTTATTTTCACTAGCCTCTAAGTGAAATTTGGCATCTCCTCAGTTATAAACCAAGACAACAGGCTACAGTAGTAGTAACAGCACATGTGACCTTGTCACTAAAGGTAATCACAGAGATTTTGGGGTTTTTTTCCCCAGATTTTTGTTTACATTCTAGTTCATTAACATATAGTATAGTGTTGGTTTCAGGAGCAGAATTTAGTGATTCATCACTTACATATAACACCCAGTACTCATCATAACAAGTGCCCTCCTTAATACCCATCACCCACATAACCCATCTCCCACTCAACTCTCTCCATCAACCCTCAATTTGTTCTTTTTTGTTAAGAGTGTTTTATGGTTTGCCTCCCTCTCTCTTTTTTTTTTCCCCTTCCCATATATTCATCTATGTTGTTTCCTAAATTTCACACAGGAGTGAAATTATATGGTATTTGTCTTTCTCTAATTGACTTATTTCTTAGTATAATACACTCTAGCTCCATCCATGTCATTGCAAATGGCAAGATTTCATTCTTTCTTTTTTTTATTTTAATTTTGAGAGAGAGACACAGTATGAATGGGGTAGGAGCAGAGAGAGAGAGAGACACAGAATCCGAAGCAGGCTCCAGACTCTGAGCTATTGGCACAGAGCCTGATGTGGGGCTCGAACTCATGGACCGTGAGATCATGACCTGAGCCAAAGTCAGACACTTACCCTTAACCAACTGAGCTACCCAGGCACCCTGAGATTTCATTCTTTTTGATGGCTGAGTAATATTCCTGTGTGTGTGTGTGTGTGTGTGTGTGTGTGTGTGTGTGTGTGTACATACCACATCTTCTTTATCTATTCATCGGTCGATGGACATTTGAGCTCTTATGTTACTTATAAACATTGGGGTACATGTATCCTTCAAATTTTGTATCCTTTGGCAAACACCTAGAAGTTCAGTTGCTGGATCATAGGTTAGTTCTATCTTTAACTTTTGAGAAGAACTCTTTTCCAGAATGGCTTCATCAGTTTTCATTCCCACCAACAATGTGGGAGCTTCCCTGCTCTGCATCTTTAGCAACATTTGTTGTTCCTGTGTTCATTTTTAGCCATTCTGACAGGTGTGAGGTGGTATCTCCTTCGTGGTTTTGATTTGTATTTCCCCGATGGTGAGTGATGTTGAGCATCTTTTCATGTGTCTATTAGCTATCTGGATGTCTTCTTTAGAAAAGTATCTATTAATGCCTTCTACCCATTTCTTCACTGGATTATTTGTTTTTTTGAATGTTGAATTTGTTAAGTTCTTTATATTTTTGGATACTAACCCTTTATTAGATATATGTCATTTGCAAATTTCTTCTCTCATTCCACAGCCTTGCCTTTTAATGTTGATTCTTTCTTTGCCATCTGACTTTTTATTTTGATCACGGTCCCAAAAGTTCTTTGCTTTTGTTTCCCGCACTTACCTCCTGTGGTGACATGTCTAGTAAGAAGTTGCCCTGGCCAGGTCAAGGTTGCTCTCTGTGTTCTCCTCTGAGTTTTTGATGGTTTTCCTGTCTCAGATTTAGATCTTTTATCCATTTTGAATTTATTTTGTGTGTGTTGTGAAAGGTGGTCAGTTTCATTCTTTTGCGTGTTGTCCGCCACAGCACGCACAAAGCCAAATGAATAAAATCTAAATCTGAACAGGCTATCTGCCTTTCTCACCAGAAGGTGAAAAGAGAAGCTGTAAAAATAATGACTTGGCCATTTCAAACAATAATCAATGTCGAAAAAATGAGCGAAAAGCGTGTAATAGGCTCTTTCTAAAGGCAATCCAGGCTAACTTAATAGACATGAAAAGATAACTCAACATTTCACCATCGAGAAAAGCTAAATCAAACGATAATTTTCTCTGTCGAATAACTAAAATGAACTAACACAGGCTGGCTGAAATGTTGGAAAATGCTGGAGAAAGGGGAGATATATGCCCCGACGGTAATTCTGGAGAAAAGAGCTGTGGAAGTTCTTCAAAAGTTAAAAGATGGGAGCAACCTATGATCAATGCAAAAATGCGAATTTGACATGTACTTTAATGTTTATAACGGCTATAGGCTCAGTGACTCCATCGACGATAGACAAAGAAGATATTGACATGTCATTACACACACACACACGCACACACAGTACTTTCGGCCAAATCAGAATGAATCTCGGCCTGGTGATTGATTGAGGTAAGTGTCTGACTTTGACTTTCAGTCATGTTTTGTCCAAGAGACCAGAGCCCCACATCAGCTCTGTGTAACTAACCGAGTCTGGAGTACTTACTCTCTCTGCTCCCCACCCATTCATACTGACAATGCTCTCTCTCAAATTAAAATAAAAAAAGAAAAGAGCATGACGAGCCATGCTGAAATAAGTCAATTAAGCCAATACTGCTGCACCGTGAAACCCCAGGAAAGGCTGTGGAATATAATATGGGAAGAGGAGAAAAAAAAAAAAGGAAGGAAGGAGGAGCAAGCTTTCACTAAAACGCCTAGCAACAAAAAAAGGGCTCAGTGTGGTGATTAATGGAACGTATTGGTGGTATTGGGAGGGCACTTCGTGAGGGGGAGCCGCTGGAGTGGGCCATGTAAGTGATGAATCAAATTCTTTCTGAAAACAACACTATATGTTAATGAACTGAATACCAAACAAAAAATGCCAAGGGGAAAAAAAATTTGAAATCTGTTCCTGCACAGTGACAGATGCGTATTAACTGTTACCTACTGTTATGTGATTTCAACTGAGGAAGATGCCAGAAACTTCATGACTGGTGTAATAAACGTATTTTTATTTCTCATCTTGATTCGTAATGAACCCTCTCCTCTGACATGAAGGGAGACTCGAGGCTGAAATTTGTGTATGGCCTCTCTTTATACTTTGAGCCGAATGGTAAACTTTGAGTTGATGCTACGGAGGCTTCAATTTTCCACTGAACTGAAGAAAATTGAAGAGCCCTATGGCGAGAGACACCCCAAACTATACTCACATACGCCCCAGCAGCCAGTTGTTGCCTAACTCACAGTTCTTCTGTCAATAAAGGCTGCTGTGACAGACTCTACCAACTTGTCTGGAAGTCAAACAGAAGATTTCCGCGCGACCTAATGTTGGCTTAGTGAGAGAAAGGAAGTTTGCACAAATGTGCCCCAATCACAGAACTGAGCTAAACCCCATCAGATGTTGGCACCGTCGAAGATGACTACCTGAATAACCGCATCTCAGCCACTCCTGACTCGGGACCCCACTTGCCTGTTGAAGACCCAAAACTCTTCGCTCTGTTTTGAAAGATACTGTTTGGTGACATATGTCAGGCAAATCACCTCGCTTGAAAAGTGGAAGGAAAGGAGGCAGAAGTCCATATAACCCTAACTAAAATTACCGCTATTTGACACTCAACCCCCAATGCAGCCCTGACATACCTTGCCCATGCCTGATGATGACAATCTTCACCACACAGTGTGTGACGACAAATAAACAAAAAGCTTGAAGGGAAGAAAGGAATGAGCGATCATAAAGAACAATTAACGCCGCTCTCTGATAGTCTTACTGTGACCTGTATTATTATGAAGAACTTTAACCTACTGATTGACAGAATAAAAACTGATTACATCTTTTAAGAGACTAATTTAACCAACCTCTCTGCATTGAGCAAACTATGGCAGGACAAAAAAATAAATGATAAAACTCAAATAAACAAAATAAAAAAAAATAATCTTTAATTGTTATATCTGAAGTTGTGTATTTTATTTTTTTTTTTCCAAAATTTTTTTTAGCGTTTATTCCATCTTTGAGAACAGAAGAAAAGACGAAACAATTGATGAGGGGAAGAAAGGAGACACAGAATCGAGAGCTCCGAGCTCTGAGGCTGAAACCCAACGTCGGGGCTCGAGCTCCGCGGACATGAACTGTTGACTTGAGAATCGGCAGCCATTTAATTATTGTATGCCGAGAAGACTACTGGTGGCTCGATTACAGTTAGCGTCAGCCCTGACCATGCAGTCTCATGGTTGATGATTCAAGCCCTCATCTGATCCTCTGCTGAGGACAAACATCTTCCTGTCCCCTGCTCTGCCCTTTCTATTACTCCTTTCTCTCTCTCAAGGCAAAAGAAAGCAAACATAAAAAGAAAAGAAAATAGCAATATCTTTTGTGTTTTAAAAAAGGCAATATTTATTCTTGAGGAAGAGAAGAGAGCTTTGCCCCAGCAGGAAGAGAGCACAAGAAGGGACGCAGTCTGAGGCAGGCTCAGGCTCCAAGCTATCATTTTGAGCCCAGCATTAGTCCCCAACTGAGGAGATCTGACACACCTGAGCTGACGGCAACACCCTGAATACCAGGTGCTTCAAGGCACAGATCTATTAGCACTGTCATGCCTTTTGTGCCTTCCTTCCTTCAGGCACGCTTTCTGACTTTCTTTCTCTTTCACTAGCTTTGCTTTCTCACCCCAAACTCACCGCGCAGCCAAGGTCTCTTTCTGCCGGTTGTCGGAAAGAGCTTGGGCATGAAAATTCGGCATGTTGTATGCAGAGAAGACATCCTTAAACTCTGTCTTTACAGTAATGACAGCCATGTTACTGCCGGAGGACAACAGAAGCAGGGAGAACTGCCTCCCGAGAGCTTTGGGAGGAAACCCTGCTGGGCCCGAGAGGGAGCTTGCCGCTTCCGGGAGACTTGCATTCTAGTCTCTTTTGCTTATTATTTCTGAGAAGTCACTGCTTACCTCACTGAGGCTCTGTCTTCACATCTGCCAGGCTCTGGATGGTGTAATAAGATCAACTATTAAATAGATCA